CCACCGTCATCAAATATAATTCATATTAATTCAAATATCTTAACTCAAATATTTACTATATTAACATCATCATGCTTCTACTTTTATTTGACTATAGTTATTTAAGCATCCTTCATCCTTAAATATACCAAGATTTAATACATAACCACATGCTGGCATTTCATTTACTTATTTGTAAAATCCTCCATTAACATTAAATCCTCATGTCCTGTTTTAGCTAAACATCCATAATATTTAATACCAAAATTTTCTAATCCTCCATGTATATAATGTATTATCATTATCCTTATGGTGGTCGCCGTATCCTGGGGTCACGTGATCCCCTTTTGCGACCGTCAAGGCGAGCAAAACCTGCGGGGAAGCCAGATTCGCTTAACGACCGTGTTGTGTGCTTAACGACTGCAGCGATCCACTTAACCAACCGTGGCAAGGAAGGTCGCAAAAACGGGGCGGAATTCACTTCGCGGATGTCTCGTTTAGCAGGCGAAACACTGGGCTGAATTGAGGTTGTAGGTTGAGGAGAGTCTCGGGAGTGGATAATGCAGCCACTTTTGAAATCCTCTGTAGGCAAACGCGGTTAGTTACTGCTAAAGGTGAAGAAACACCTCGCGGTTGCTCTATATACGTATCTAAGGAGCTTTTTTAATGCTGAACTGTGTTCTCCAACCTTGGCAACATTAAGATTTGTAGAGAGGTACAGAGCAGTGGTCTCCAACTTTGGCCACTTTAAGACTTGTGGGACTTCAACTCCCAGAGTTCCTCAGCCAGCAAAGCTGGCTGAGGAACTCTGAGAGTTGAAGTCCACAAGTCTTAAAGTGGCCAAGGTTGGAGACCACTGGTAGAGAGGACACAACGGAAATTCCATCAACAGGGTGACTCAGATGGAACAATCTGCATGGCAGTTGCCCAGTTTCCATGTTTAGTTCTGCGCAAACATAATCTTCATCCGTTACCGCTGAAGGCACTCAAGTTGAGAGAACTTTGGCTGCAAGTCCAGACTTCTGTTATTTGACATTTACTTTTCCCCCTCTTCGGTTGCTGAATTACGCAGGCATTACATTTGCAATCGTTCCCTGCTTCTCCAAAGTTTACAATCCTTCAAAAGAGGCGTCCTTTGGTCAAGTGTGAACTGTCGTCGTATAATACAATATCATAGACAGCAGCAGCTTTAATAATAATTGTAATTAATTGTAATTGAATAAATGTATATGCCGCCCAATCCCATAGGACTAGATGTCCATTGGGATTGAAAACTTTTATCGATCGATTCAGATTATTTCAGGATCTAGGCAAAAAGTGTGCCTCGTTTATAGCCCACTCTAAATTTATGTTCTGATTTGTATTTGTGTTGTATTTGGAAGGCAGAATGCTAACTCAAAACAGGTGTGATTCTATCAACTCATTAAATGGAAATAATTATAAGTCCTAATATTGAAAATTTTAGCTTGATGGGAATCGTATTTTGACCCGGAATAATCTGTTAAAAATTTCAAACATTTCATTTCTCCAAATCCTCAAATCTTCAAATGCTGTTTCACAAAAATGATGCTTGCATTTTCTAATGCAGCTTCTGGTGCATTAAGGACTTACTTCGTACGTCAGAACTTAGTTTATGTTTCATCCAAACCATTAACCTTTTTTTTCCCCCCTCTTCAGAAAAATTCCCAAGTGGAATTCCATCCTGCAAAGTAGCGTTGTCATCTTAAGATTCTGTTAACCGGATGCAAACAAAAAGTATTGTCAACTCGGAGAAATGTGTGCCATATTAATTACAGTGATATATTTTTTTCTTGGTCAGATTGCCATTGCCGGAGACCAAATTTATGGGCTACTGGAAAACGAATCATTTGGGGAAATCACGCCGAAGACTCTTGTGCCCTGCCGAAACACATCGTGTAGAAGTGAAGGTTTGTGAAATTTGGTTCAAGTTTAAGGTTAACGGAGGAGAATATTTGTAGCTCGAGGTTGACCTGAGGGCTTCCTTGGTGTTCTTCGAGCTTGATTGTTTTCTTGCAGGTGTTTCATTACCCAACTTGGTAACATCATCTGTGCTACAAGGAGAGGGGTTTGCTCCAGCGAATGGATGATGTCACCTAGTTGGGTAATGAAACGCCTGCAGCAAAGTCGCCAAGCAGGAAAAGCACCAAGGATCTGCATGTTTAACTGGGGCTAAGCATTTCCAGACTGCTAAATCTAAAGAAGGCAGATAGTTGCCACCACTTTTAAAAAATACTTTAAAAAAAAAGAATCATGGAATCCTGGCTGATTGTGGACAATGATTTTCAAATTATAGAATAGAATAGAATAGAATAGAATAGAATAGAATAGAATAGAATAGAATAGAATAGAATAGAATTGAATTTATTTACTTACTTACTTACTTACTTACTTATTTATTTATTTATTTATTAGACTTATATGCCGCTTCATAGAGCTTTCAGCCCTCTCTAAGCGGTTTACAGATTTTTAGCAAATTGAGTCAGCAAATTGCCCCCACAGTCTGGGTCCTCATTTCACCCACCTCGGAAGGATGGAAGGCTGAGTCGACCTTGAGCCAGTGAGATTTGAACCGCTGAACTGCAGATAAAACAGTCAGCTGAAGTGGCCTGCAGTACTGCACCCTAACCACTGCGCCACCTCGGAATAGAATAGAATAGAATAGAATAGAAATTAGATAATGAATGGAATAGAATAGAAATTAGATGATGAATAGAATAGAAATTAGATGATGAATGGAATAGAATAGAATAGAATAGAAATTAGATAATGAATGGAATAGAATAGAAATTAGATGATGAATAGAATAGAAATTAGATGATGAATGGAATAGAATAGAATAGAATAGAAATTAGATAATGAATAGAATAGAAATTAGATGATGAATAGAATAGAAGTTAGATGATGAATGGAATGGAATAGAATAGAATAGAAATTAGATAATGAATGGAATAGAATAGAAATTAGATGATGAATAGAATAGAAATTAGATGGTGAATGGAATAGAATAGAATAGAATAGTAGGAAGGGACCTTGGAGATCTTCTAGTTCAACCCCTTGCTTAGGCAGGAAAACCTCCTTATAGACAAGGAGAATTCAGCCAAACAAGTACTCCTCGAGTTACAACAATTCATTCAGTGACCGTTTGAAGTTATGGTGGCACTGAAAAAAAAGTGACTTAGGATCATTTTTCACACTTAACAACCGTTGCAGCATCCCCACGACTGCGTGATTAAAATCCGGGGCCTTGGCAGCCGACTAGTATTTATGATGGTGGTGTTGTGTCCCGTCCCCCCCCCCCCGGAAGGGGGTCACGCAAGCCCCTTTTGCCACCTCCTGCCAAGCAGAATGAACGGGGGAAGCCTGGTTCGCTTAATGACCGTGCGGCTAACTTAACAACCGCAGGGATTCGCTTGACCGCCGCACCAAGGAAGGTCGCCAAATGGGGCAAAACTCACTTAAGAACCGTCTTGGCTCAGCAGCAGACAAACTTGGGCTCAGCTGTGGTCGCACGTCGAGGTTCTGCCTGTCATTGTCGTCGTTTTGCCAGATTTCGTTCCAGTTTTGGGGTTCAGGAATGGCTCTCTTTTTATTTTAGGGCCCCATACATTTAAACCTGCAGGGCTTCCCTCTGGAAAGGCACGAGGGCAGAGCCTTGAGTTTCACGGAAGAGCTGGCCTTCTGGAGCCTCCCTTTGAACCAGGTTAACTTAGTCTGCGATGTGGCGTCTCAAGGTAGAGTACCAGGATGTGGGTGGCTGCTGGCATTACTGCCAAAAAAACATTGTGCGGGTGGGCTCATTTCGCTCGCGGGCACGCCAAATGCGCCCTCCACGCGCGGGTTGCATTTGTATCTAAAATTGTCTGCACATGCGCAAAACGTTAAAAAAAGGGGGGGGGAAATACGTTTCTGCAATGAAAATTGTTCTGCGCATGGGTGACGGATGTCAATCAAATAACGATCTCTGGTGATTCTAGCGAGGGTTTCGGTGGTAGAGAAATCCTAAACTTGCACCTTCTCTCTCTTAATTTTGCGCCCCGTCCCGCTAAAGAGCGCGAAGACGGGACTTCGCTTTACGTGGCCACCTGCAATCCCGTCTCCTTATATTCCATGAACGCCTCTGGGAAAACCGGACACTGCATGGACCTCTACGACCTCTTCCCGCGAACCCTTCGGGGCATGTGGCAGCCCTTCGTCCGGCTGGCCCCCCTCGGCAGCCCCCTCCAAGGCCAGGTCGTTCTGCACGAAGAGCAGGTAAAGCCGAGGGGGAGGAGGCCGTGTGCCTAGGTTGGCCTTCATTCCCTGGGGGGGGGGGAGAGAGAGAGAGAGAGGAAGAGAGAGAGGAAGGGAGAGAGAGGGAGAGAGAGAGGGAGGGAGAGGGAGNTGGCTAAAGTAGAACTAGAATTCCCAGTCTCCTAGTGATTGACCCAAGGTCACATGGCTAAGGTGGAACTAGAACTCCCAGTCTCCTAGTGATTGGCCCAAAGATACCCAGCTGGCTTTTATGACTAAGGTGGTTCTAGAACTTCCAGTTTTCTGGCAAAGTCACCCAGCTAGCTTTCATGGCTAAAGCCGGACTAGAACTCACGGTCTCCCGCTTTCTAGCCTGCTGCCTTAACCACTCGCTGAAACTGCCTCTCTCAACTTTGTTCCACCTCTTGTAGACTTAAGGAGTATAATCCTTTACACATCCTCTACTTAAAAAACGGCGAAAAATTGAAATTCAACAATGCGCACCAACCAGAGGCCATTCAGGAACACATCTGGATCCAGCCGGTTGCCCACCATTTAGGATTTCTGGCTCCCCCCTCCCCCCCCAGGACTGTGGGGAGGGTCCTCGAAATGTGTCATCCAGGACACATAATACGTTTGCAACTCTTCCGAAGGATGTAGAATTGCCCTCTTTGTATTTATTTATTTTTTTCTGATAGAATCACATCATTTTATTGGTGGACACGAACACGGGGGCCGTCAGCCGCCTCACCTTGTTACCGGATATCCCGGCGTCGCGGAAAGGAACATCGTGGTGGGGAGGCAATCCAGAGGAGGTAAGGCATCTCAATAGCCTATTTACCCTACAAGAATGCAAGTAGTTCTTGACTTACTGCTATTCATTTAGTGACCGAAGTTACAACAGGACTGGGGGAAAAAAGCAAATTAGGATCATTTTTCACACTTTACGACCGTTGCAGCGTCCCTGCAGTCACGTGACCAAAATTCAAGGGCTTGGCAACTGGCATGTACTTAACAACAGTTGCAGTGTCCTGGGGTCACGTGACCTTGTTTTGCGGCCTTCCCAAGTCAACGGGGAAGCCAGATTCACTTAGCGACTGGGTAACTAACTTTTTTAATATAAACATATTTTTATTTCCATTTTCATAACATACAATCACATGTATACGATACATAGCCAGTATCATATAGTATTAAATAATGATTACATCAGTTCCTCTTGTTATCAACGCCCCCCAAAAAGTTAACACCCCTTATTAGCTCTTCTACTCTCCATACACCTCTTTCTTCTACCTCTCTCCTACTTCCTATCTTCCCTCCATCTTCCTTTCCTACTTTACTTCCCCTCCCTTTCTCCT